CCTCCCTCCCTTCCCTCCCTCCCTCCCTCCCTCCCTCCCTCCCTCCCTCCCTCCCTCCCTCCCTCCCTCCCTCCCTCCCTCCCTCCCTCCCTCCCTCCCTCCCTCCCCTCCCTCCCTCCCTCCCTCCCTGCCTGAAGTATCTCCTTGCTGTGTGCCGATTGGACAAGCGTGAGAGCAGTGAAACTCGATTCCTTTTCTGTTGACGCTAGAAAGTGAAGTTGAAAGCCCTGCTGATTGAGCTGCAACAAACGAGCTTGCAACCCAGCTGCTCTGTTGTCATCACGAGCCTCTCCTCGTCGTCTTCGTCGTTTCCGTCCTCCTCCTTCCAGTCCTGCTCTTCATTCCCTCCTGCTCCAGCTCCAGCTCCTGCTCCAGCTCCAGCTCCTGCTCCTGCTCCTGCTCCTGCTCGTATCGTCATCTCCTGACCAGCAGCAACCTCTCCTGGAACACTGACGATGAGTACTAGCAAGACGGAAAGGAATTTCATCCGCAGTGCAAACTCAAGGATCATGGGCCCAGCCTCCTCGCCTGCTGCTGCAACAACATCTGAAGGCTCTAACCCGAGCACAAGGAAAGCGCATGTTGAGAATCATGGCAGCAGGAGGCAGCAGATGAAACTGATGGAGAGGGTTTTGCGATGGAGTTTGGCGAGGAGGAGGAAGGCAGAGATCTTCAAGGTCTGGGTACTGTACCACTTGTGTGCTTGCCAGCGACGTCAGGACTTTGACGACATCAAGACTAGAATCCAAGAGATCTCAATCTCAGCGACTGGTACAAGAGAGTGAACCCTGACTGAGTCTTCTCTGACGCCTCAGGAATATTTGATCGGGAAGAACTGAGATTGCAACTTGCTGATCTTTGAACAGAATGTGAGACTAGAGGCAACCCGTCCAAACAAAGTTTATGAGTACATTACATCCGCCTATTGCTGATTGTTGATTCCAAACATATCACGGTTGCCCCCAGGAACCACCAGGGGAGGGTCGAAACCTGTCGGGCCCTTCAGAAAGATGCCGACACGTCGGACGAAACGCTCTCTTACCCTCATCGTATCCTGTTGGATCCATCGAATCGATGGGGAGGGAGTTGTCCAAGAACAGCATCTTTAAACCGAGAGGTGTCACTTGTACCAGCAATCAAAGGGAGCAAAAGAAATCACCTGCTGTCTTGCCTTGAGATTGACTGGGTGCTGGCCGCGGAGGCATTCTGAGAAGCAAGACATCTGCAAGTTGGCACGTCAGCATGCTCACCATTCTCACGAAGCTCGAACAACCTGGCAGAGCAGTTGTGCTGGTCCATAACATTCTTCAAAGGACGGCGGCTTTGCCATCTGCAGCGCCTCCCTGTTCATGTGTGAGCAGAGCAAGGGGGGAGGATGGCGAGCTAGTAACCTTCTGACGTCTTCACATGCATCATGCTCGTCCGACTCTGGCTCTTCCTCGCTGGACTGTTCTTCTCCCCCCTCTCCCTCGCCTCCGCCCTCCGAAGCTCCGTAATATTGATCATAGATACCCTGCGAAAGATTCAGGGCATCGCCCCGAAGACCCTCTTGTCCGGCCTTACCTGGAGCTTGCCGTCGTACCAACTTTGAAAAGGTGTCTTAGCACTGTCAAAGCTCATCATGGGCTCGTTGGTATCATCGTTATCACTTCATACCTCTCATCCTGGGCGGGTTCTTGAGGCTCCGCAGCCTCCTCCCCCCCGCTCTCCCCGCCCTCTTCGCTACCACCCTCCTCGCTCTCCTCGCTGGCTTCGCTCCCATACAACCCTTGGGAAGCCATCCAGTCCTTCATTGACATGCAGTCTTGATCTGCTGGCCATTTCGACCGCTCTCCCGGTGCCGGCCTGACACAAAAGACTTGCTCCTCCCCTTCTCCCTCTCCTTCAGCCCCCTCCTGATTTTCGGATGCCTCAGCATTCTCGGCCTCCTCATGGGGTGGCATGGCTCTCTCATGAGCGCACTTGAGGATAGACTTGTCCACCCACTTCTGCTGCAGCTGCAGGTACAGACAGTGACATCAGATCACAAACACATTCAATGCGAGGACACTTACCTTTCCGTTGCGCTTCACCCACACCAGGGTCATCCCAGTATGCCTGATGACAGCACGTCAGGACTAGAAGATAGATCACAGCCGATGACTTACGGAGGACAGGCGTTTGGCTGGCCGTTTCCTCCCGTTCCCTTCTGCTCCTGGATCGAAGGATGGCAGGCATGCTCAGCATGACGGCATCGCAGGCAGCTCAGCCAGTCGCCCCCAGCCTTCACATCCTGGTACTTGTCTTGGTACACGATCAGCTCCGAACTTCTTCCTCCGCTCATCATTGTCACTGTGACCATGACGACAAACGCTGCCGCCGCCAGCGCCGCCGCCGCCACACCTTGGGCCATGCCCCTTCGCATTGCGCCAGCGCCCACCCCAACCACCCTAACCTCGAAAAATTCAAAAGAGGGTAGGGGTCCTTTCGTCTCCGAGCCGGGGCCCGGGCGCAGGGAGGGCCCGGGCCCCGGCCAGGCCCGGGCCGCCCGGCCCGGGCCCAGGCGGGCCTCGATTCGCTGCAGCCAGTCACCCACTAGCCCTTTACTCAAACTTCGGGAGGAGGCTTGAACCTGACTTACTTAACCTGACACTGTCGCACTTTCTTCCCGGGGCCTTATGCGGCACTGCGGCAGGGCAAGGCTACGTTTGCGCGCGGCTTTCGCACCGTGGCGCACGCGGCAGCGGCATTGGTCTCGCCGTCCTCCTCGCAGGAGCCTTGCGCTACTGCTCTTTGTCCTGATCCTTGTTCCCCTGCTTGTCGTGCATGCCGTCGCTTGCGTGGCCCGTTGGAGTATCGGATTTCGCTGCCTCCTTGGTTTCCAGGCTAGTATTTTATTGAGGCGGGTTAGAGTTCCCACCACCGGCCTTCAACGTTGACAGCAGCACAGCTCCTGTGGAGCCGCAGCAGGGGCCCGGTGGAGGTTGGAGGGGGTCAGGGCAAGACTTGAACTCTCCGATGGAGATCGTCACAACAGCTTATAACTGGTCCGGGCGAGTATGCATCTATTACGCAACTAAAGATAAAAAAATCACCTCCCTTGTACCCTGCATCTTCCTTTCTCAATCCTTCATCAAGCCCTCGAAGTACTTCTGTGCATGCGACCGCACCTGCGACGCTGTCTTCGTTCCGATCGCCCTCGAGATGAAGTAGGCGACTCCTCTCCCCAGCCCTACCCGCACGCGCCCGTCCTGAGCGACCCTCGTCTCAGCGTCAGGGCAGTAGTCTCTGAGCGCGACGAGGAAGCGCTGATGCTCGTCCTCCGTCCAGCCCCGAGAGGTCCCCGAGGTGTCAGTGGAGGAGTTAGTAGGAGGAGAGCTCGTGGGAGTTGGGTTGCAGCTCGCAGGCATCGCAAGGCTCATGGAGTGAAGGTTCCCAGCTTGCTGCCTCATCATGTGACTTGCTGGACCAGAACTATAGACTTCACTTGAGCAAGCCCACCCATCCTGATATTGAGTTGTTTGTACGGCAGGGATATGTGGAGAAGTGCTCGGATCATTCATCATGGCAGCAAACTGCTGAGAAGCTTGAATCTGATGTCTTGACGTCGACGTCAATGTCGACGTCGACGTCGACGTGGACATTGACATAGACGTAGATGTTGAAGCTGATGCTGACACTGACGCTGGCGTTGACGTTGTTGTGGACCTCGACCTCGACCTCGACTTCGATTTAGACTTGGGCGGAAAATGAAATATAGCTTCTATCGCGTCCTCCAGCGGGACAGAGTCATCGGCGGTCCATGGAGTAGTTTCATGTAGATCATGTTGTGATAATCTCGTCTGTACTTGATCTGAAGTCTGTTCAGCACCTGCGCGATGCGGAGAATGCGAGCTCGCCCGTCCATCCTTGAGTGTTGGTGTCTGGTCCAGTTGATCTCGAGACTGATCTCTATACATGCTGATCAGCTGTTCATCTTCTTGAGCATCAAGGATAGTTCACAGGTGCATCATGCTTCGACCACCACAGGGTGGCCGTGCATGTCGTGCTAGCCGCGGCCCTCTCTTCCTCCCTCTCGACGAGCGCTCCCTTATAAATTTGCTTGCACCCCCCCTGACAGACAGGTGCAGCAGAGATTTTTAACAAGTCTTAAGGCTGTAGTAAACAATATCTTGCTTCAAATTTTTACAAGTATTTTACTAAGTCTGCTCACGAGACAGTCATGATCGGATCCGTTTTGCAGGACCGTGACGTCGCCCTCAGAGACTCTTTACTCAAGGTTAAGTTAAAATATGTACGAGGAAAAGGTGAAATTGTCACGATCGTGTCACAGTCTCTTGGGCTGGGGAGAGTCGCCTACCATCATATTTTGCTCTATTGCTTGTATTGCCAAGTGTTAGTCGTCTGTTACAGCGAGAATGAAGAAGTTCGTTACACGCTTGGAACAAGACTTGGCATGTTTGTTCCTGGTTGAATGTTTGTTTTCGATCTCTTATCACCACGGGGAGCAGTTGCACATTATGCCAGTACGAGGTTAACAAATGCATGGACGTTGTCATGTGTGCTCCAGGCAACGTGTGGGGCTCATCACCGTGCGGGCTCATCAGCGCAGGGTATAAATTGCTTGATTTCGAGCTTTTGGATATAACGGGAAAGCGGGTTGGAACCCTTGAGATACATGACGATGCTTGCGGAAGCGGCAGAAGCAGACACATTGAAGAGGCTGTTCTCAGTGTGTGAGAATCGCCATCCGTTGCTGCGGGGGCAGCTCTACGAGCATGTATTTTGCAAGAGCGTGTAGTAGGGGCACAGGAGCTCGTGCAATTGGAGGGATGCGCAGGGAAAACTGTCCCCAATTCGTCCCCGATGGTATCATGCTTCACAGGATCTCTGGACCCGCGAGAAGGCTGGTGATTGCTCAATCAAGCCTTATTCCTTATAGCATGCTTCTTTCATTCGTATCATACATATCACCATATCCCTGATCTTTCTTGCTCTAGACCTATCCTATCATACGCCAACACCGATCCTCTCTCTCGCTCTTCCCTAATCCAGTACTTGCATGTTCCCAGTCCCCACTGGATATATGACCGACCTTGACATCTACCCCCATCGCCTCTCCTCCGACGCTCTCCGCACCTTGAACGTCTCTCCAAACTCCGCCCTCAAGAGCTTCCGCTTGTCGAAACTCCCCTGCCGGTGGGGCATGGGAGGGGATGGGAGGGACGGCTGGACAGACGTAGGGGGAGGGAGGTCGTCGGCGAGCAGGTCGAGCAGAGGAGCAGCGACGAGCAGGAGCAGGGCAGTGAGGCTGGAGAAGGTCCTCCTGATGAGCAAGACGACGGCAGGAGCGAGAGCAGGGAGGGAGAGAAGGAGCATGGGGAAGGGAGTGCGAAACCGGGCAGGCGGATGACAGCAAGAAACCTGGTGATAGAAGAGAACGGTGGATCAGGGGCAGTAGGCCTAGTCTGAGAATTCTAAAAATGGTAGAGTGAGAAAGGTGCATGCTTTATAATGTATTTTAACAACGAGATAGGGATATGCGTTATGGATATCAGTGCTGGTCTCAAACCACATCGCTACCGCCCCGCTGACATCAGCACCCTCGTGACCTTGATCCCCGCACGTCGTGGGAGTAAACTCGGAGCAAGGCGCTAGCTAGCTAGAGATAGAGGAGCCGGAGGACGATCGTTTCAGGCTTACCGGATATCAAGAAGCCTCGCTAAGCTCCCTCGTCCTCCTCCTCCCAGCCTCTCTCCAGCCGCCTCCCCTCCTCCCTCCTCCTGTCTTGTCTCCCCGTCTCCGCATGGACCCTCCCCACGACCCTGCCTCCCTACCCTACCAGTGGACCTCCCAGGACCCCGTGGCTCTAGAGGACGCCATCGACGCGATCTTCAGGCTTCCTGCTACGGCACATGCCAGCTGTCGCCACCGGCCCGTCAAGCTCGAGCTGCATCCTACGGCCCGCCCAGATGCCTCTTCTCGCCTCCTGCCCTCGTCGCAGATGGCAGCAGCCCGGCAGTCCCCGAAGGCTCACGCAAGCCCGACGGCGAGGACGTGCTGGCAACCCGTTGCAAGCATAGCAGAGCTGCATGCGGGCTTGCCTCAAGGCTCGTCCGCGTCCTCCTCTTGGTCCTCTTCCTCAACGTCGCCGCGTCTTCTTGCCTCCTCGTCGCTATCCTTCTCTACTCCTCCTTCCCTCGGAGCCAGAGGGTCAGGAGGCTGGACGGAGGACGAGCATCAGCGCTTCCTCGTCGCGCTCAGAGACTACTGCCCTGACGCTGAGACGAGGGCTGCTCAGGACGGGCGCGTGCGGGTAGGGCTGGGCAAGAACGCCGCCTACTTCATCTCGAGGGCGATCGGGACGAGGACGGCGTCGCAGGTGCGGTCGCATGCACAGAAGTACTTCGAGGGCCAGAGAGGAGGTGAGGAGACAGGGCTTGGATGTAGAGCACCATCGGTGTATCAAGGGGGGGGGGGGCGAGACAGACAAGAGGAAGGGCAGGAGCTGGATGAACTCCTGCTCGGCGACGTCCGCATGCTCATCAGGAGGACCTTCTCCAGCCTCACTGCCCTGCTCCTGCTCGTCGCTGCTCCTCTGCTCGACCTGCTCGCCGACGACCTCCCTCCCCCTACGTCTGTCCAGCCGTCCCTCCCCTCCCATGCTCCCCCCCCCTCGGGCACGAGGGGTGTTTCGACAAGTGGAAGCTCTTGAGGGCGGAGTTTGGCGAGATGTTCAAGGTGCGGAGAGCATCGGAGGAGAGGCGATGGGGGTAGGGCAGGAGCTGTGTGGAAGGGAGTACTGGATCCCCAAGAGAAAGGGAGGAAAACTGTTGGGGTGTCGCAGTATGATAGGATAGGTCTAGAAAGACGTTGGTGATGGCGATATGTATGATATGAATAATGAAGTGATCAAGAAGGATCAGCTTGAAGCTCGTCACTACTTCGGACCCACTGATCAGCGAGGACCGCAAGCTACAGTCGTGGTGTCTGACCGTGCTGCCCCAGTGCTGTACCGCCATGGCATGCCATGGTGCCGAGATCCTGACTTCCGGGGCCTCACCGTGTCGCGGAGTCTGCGGAGCTCTCAGCTCCCATGACGCAGGACTCTGTTCCTCGTTGCCCTCAGGAGGCCACTGCCTGACGCCTGAGACAAGGGTCGCTCAGGAGGAATGCGGGTCGGGGTGGGGCGAGGAGTCCAGCATCATACATGCTCAAAGGCTCTATTCTTTGTATTTTCAAGTATTGCTCGCAATGGAAGAAGTCATCTATCACAACGGGAATGAAGAAGGCAGGATGCCAGCGACACGCTCAAGGTGCGGAGGGCGTCGTAGGAGTGAGGATGGGAGGAGGCGCTGGGCAGACTAGAAGCGCAGGTGAAGGGTGTCCGGGTGGGCTGCAGACACAAGCAGACAAGCAAGCCGAGCTTGTCAGATGCGCTGCAAGGCATGAGAGCGTTGGTGTGGCGTGCGGGCTCTAAGAGGGTGTCGGATGCCGAGGATGGGGAGGACGAGCCTCCGCAAGTACGGGCGAGGACAAAGGAGGGAAGAGCGTCTGCGGTGGGGAGGGCCTCCTAGTCAAGGAAGGCGAGGAAGAACCTAGCCAGCAGGTCATGATACAAGAGGAAAGAACGTTGCTGCATTGGATCAGGTTCTTCGTAAGAGAGTGAAGCAAAGACACTTGAAGGATGCAGGGCCTGAAGGGTGGGAGAGTGTTTGTAAAAGGGCTCTCTCTTGGGCAATGAAGGCATTGCTATGATGGTCATGTACTTGGTAACAGATCGTTTATCCACATCACGTCGTAGGAAAAATGGTGATTCGAGTCTCTGTGTTTGCAAGGAAGCTGAGACGTATCACGATGAGTCGTTCGGGCTTCATAGTGTGCTGCAGTGAGCAATGCAACTCCGCTACATGGATATCATCATCGATATCATATCATCGCTGCTCGATATCGGTCCTTGCAAGCTTGCTAGCCGGCCACAGATTTAGCTACAATTGGCTTGAAGCCTCCAAGGGTTCGTAGAGAATGTTGTAGTAAACCTGAAACATGGCCTGGTGTTGTAGATGTGCCTCCCTTTCATGACCAGCCCTGGACGTCGTTCTCCTCACCTCCTTCCCTGGCCCTCGAAGTACTTCTGTGCATGCGACCGCACCTGCGACGCCGTCCTCGTCCCGATCGCCCTCGAGATGAAGTAGGCGGCGTTCTTGCCCAGCCCTACCCGCACGCGCCCGTCCTGAGCAGCCCTCGTCTCAGCGTCAGGGCAGTAGTCTCTGAGCGCGACGAGGAAGCGCTGATGCTCGTCCTCCGTCCAGCCTCCTGACCCTCTGGCTCCGAGGGAAGGAGGAGTAGAGAAGGATAGCGACGAGGAGGCAAGAAGACGCGGCGACGTTGAGGAAGAGGACCAAGAGGAGGACGCGGACGAGCCTTGAGGCAAGCCCGCATGCAGCTCTGCTATGCTTGCAACGGGCTGCCAGCACGTCCTCGCCGTCGGGCTTGCGTGAGCCTTCGGGGACTGCCGGGCTGCTGCCATCTGCGACGAGGGCAGGAGGCGAGAAGAGGCATCTGGGCGGGCCGTGGGGTGCAGCTCGAGCTTGACGGGCCGGCGGCGACAGCTGGCATGTGCCGTAGCAGGAGGCCTGAAGATCGCGTCGATGGCGTCCTCTAGAGCCACGGGGTCCTGGGAGGTCCACTGGTAGGGTAGGGAGGCAGGGTCGTGGGGAGGGTCCATGCGGAGACGGGGAGACAAGACAGGAGGAGGGAGGAGGGGAGGCGGCTGGAGAGAGGCTGGGAGGAGGAGGACGAGGGAGCTTAGCGAGGCTTCTTGATATCCGGTAAGCCTGACCGTTTGTCCTCCGCCTCCCTTCCCCTAGCACCTGTCCAGATATTTGCACCACAGCGCATATCTACGGTGGATATTTCGACGGATCTCAACACGCATCGATCCAGAAGACTTGCTTTACTACCCACACGTTGCAGCTTTGCCGAGGTCAGCTTTACTATCCACACGTCACCTCCAGCCCGTCGCCCCTCCACCCACCCTCCCTCCCTCTTCCCCTCTCTCACTGTCCGTCTATCCTTGTCCCCTCTCGCCTCCTCTTGTCACCGTCAGAGTGCCTGCGACTGTCTGTATCCTCTCATCTGCTTCCTGCCCTGACCTGCTTGCCTTCTCGGGCTCACACCCCGCATGCCCCTCCTCTGGATTAGGACGAGCAAGAGGTAGGATAGGTCTCGAGCAAGGCAGTTCGGGGCTATGTTGACATGTATGATATGAATAAAGAAAGCTTCTTGTAAAGCATGAAGCTCCCACAACCGTCATCGTCGTGAGTAAGCTAAGGGCTTGAGGTGTGGTCCGTGTTGTAGTGGCAGCCTCGTCCTGTCTGTCCCCAACCCTTACGGGTATCCGAGTTCTATGTCTGTAAGAAAAGAGACATAAATGCACACGTACACCATCAGGCTCGTGGTAAACTCAGCACGTCAAGAATAGACCACCCAAAGGAGTTGTCGACGATCCTTGGAGAGTGCTGTGGATCCACCAGGCTTCTCAAGCGTGACAGAGCATCCCCTATGCATCTACTTAGAGCTGTTTCCTGCTCCAGGGGGTTGTACTTGACGGAGCTGGTCTTGACCTACAGCCATGTAGCCATCAAGAGCTTTGATCTTGACATACATGGTACAAGAGGATTGAAGCGACTCAGTCAAGCAAAAGTTTTCTTGATGTTATGAAGTGAAATGGCTCTACGGCACGGTCCAATCTCCAAGCCAGTAAGTCGCTCATGACGGCGCTAGTGATCGCACAACGAGGGTAGATGTAGCACGACAAAGCTTGATCCCTTACAACATGCTACCTTTATTCGTATCATACATATCACCATATCCCCGATTATCTTGCTCTAGACCTATCCTACAATAAACCTATCCTTTCTTCTCTCTTGCTCTTCCCTAATCCAGTACTTGCATGTTCCCAGTCCCCACTGGATATATGACCGACCTTGACATCTACCCCCATCGCCTCTCCTCCGACGCTCTCCGCACCTTGAACGTCTCTCCAAACTCCGCCCTCAAGAGCTTCCGCTTGTCGAAGCACCCCTCCCGCGGGGACGGTATGGCAGGGGATGGGAGGGACGGCTGGACAGACGCAGGGGGAGGGAGGTCGTCGGCGAGCAGGTCGAGCAGAGCAGCAGCGACGAGCAGGAGCAGGGCAGCGAGGCTGGAGAAGGTCCTCCTGATGAGCAAGACGACAGCTTGAGGGTTTGGGGCAGGGAGGGAGAGAAGAAGCATGGAGGGGGGACGGAGAGTGGGGAGGGGGTAAGACAGGAGGCAGTGGAGTAGAGAAAGCCGTTGAGCCAAAGCAGTCTCAGAGTAACAACAGGAGGAGACGAGGCTGAAATAGGCAGGGAGAGGAGGGAGGAGGGAAGGTGTAGCAACTCCGAAGTTTCGGATATTCTCAACAGACCTCAACCCGCATCGCTACAGCCCCGGCTGACCTTCCGGGATCCTCGTGACCTCCACAACTGGATCTGTCAGGTACTACCTCTCGTGACTGCTGACACTTATTAGCCATGGGAGGGTTTTATCCAGGGGCGAGTTTTTCCTTGCGGGAGCCTGAGGGGGGCTGTGGTCACCTGGCGCTCATGTCCGCACCCTGAGCAGAAACACAGACAAGAGCGAGCAAGACGAAGACGGAGAGAGGGAGGGAGGGAGGGAGTGAGAGGGAAAGGGAGGGAGGGAGGGAGGGAGGGAGGGAGGGAGGGAGGGAGGGAGGGAGGGAGGGAGAGGCATAGCCTGCACCCTCTCAGGCCCCATGCACCATAGCTCGCGCGTACAAACAGCTCTTCTACCGTCATTTATTGCTTCTGTACTCACGATTTCTGCGCTTCTACATATACCTACAGCCTGCCTGTACATACCCTACTTCTATCCCTGGCTTGTCTAGCGGCTCATCTCACCCTCTGCTCCTCCGACGCCCTCCGCACCTTGAACGTCTCCCCGTACTCTGGCCGGAGCAGCCGGCGTTTGTCGAAGGCCCCTTGTCGCGGCGTCTGCACCATGCGAGACGGCGTGTCAGCAGGAGAAGGAGGATCAGGCAGGTCGCAGGGAGCATCGTCTGCCAGCAGCATGCAGGCATGCTTGGCTGCTGCTCGCGCTGCGGCCGCGAACAGGAGGAAACCGGCCAGCACTCGAGCTCTCCACTGAAAGGGAGGAGCTACACGTAGGAAGGCGAGGATCATGGGAGGCAAGATCTGGGGATAAGGCTAAGAGGGGATCAAGGGAGAGGGAGAGAAAGATGGAGACGAAGGGAAAGAATGGAGGTGGGATGGACTTGAGCCTGATGATGGCGTGAGGTAGGAAGCCTGCAGAGGAAGGGAATGGCAGTGAAGTGGGGTTGTGGGAAAGGGGGTTGGCAAGAGGACAGGATTTGTTTTGAGAGAGCCGTAAACAGTGTTGATTGCAGATGGGACGAATTGTTTCCTGCAAAGGTTCAACTGCACCTGTCACGTACCCTCTCGTGACTGCAGAAAGATGGAGATGAAGGGAAAGGAGGCGGGTCGTCGGAGCCTCGGAGTAACTTGGCTGCTCCGGTTCCGGGCCCGCGCTCACAAAACTTGCCGAGTAAACCGTGTCGTTGTAGAGGGGACGAATTGTTTCCTACAAAGGTTCAACTGCACCTGTCACGTACCCTCTCGTGACTGCTGACATCGAGCTCTTTGAGCTGACCTCCAAGATATCCTTGGCGCACAGCGGTCCAGATCATCCCGACGGTGCCATGAGCAGCTTGCAATGGTCGCTGTCGCAGCAACGGGGGTGGCAAGAGGACTCGGTTCTCTTGGAAGATGCCATCGACGCCATCTTCCCTCCTCCCTCCTCCGCTCCACCTCCCATCATCAACCTCACTCCCGCCCTGAGCATGGGGGATCAACATTCCGTTGCTCCGCTGCTCCTATCAGGGGCCTCTCGGGGCTGGACGGAGGACGAGCATCAGCGCTTCCTCGTCGCGCTCAGAGACTACTGCCCCGACACTGAGACGAGGGTCGCTCAGGACGGGCGCGTGCGGGTAGGGCTGGGGAGAGGAGTCGCCTACTTCATCTCGAGGGCGATCGGAACGAAGACAGCGTCGCAGGTGCGGTCGCATGCACAGAAGTACTTCGAGGGCCTGCGTAGGAAGTAGGAGCATTGTATTATGGCAAGTGGAGCAATGGTATTATGCACAAGTTGTATCGATGTACTTCAGATTGGCACAAGGTATCGTGACCGATACACGAAATGAACGAAATAGCAGAAATGTATTTGAACAAGTATGATATGACTGATCCTTGCAGCCGATCAAAAAGGTGTCGTGGTTTGTATTGCATATGGATGATACGTGTTGAGATGCATACTGCGCATCTTTTGTAGCTTTTGCGCGCCTACTTCATGATCGTATCTGGTCAATTGTTTTTCAGATTTTCGCAACTGTATGAGAACTGAGATTATGTATTGATGGGAAAGGAAGATCTGTGTCTTAGTGTGTCCTAACGATCAAATCATTCCCTGTGTGCGGATCCTTTTTCTTTTGCGTGTCATGTTGGCAAGCTTTGTGATGAACGATGCTTAAAAGCGTGCAATCCCCTTTCCTCCTCTATTCCCGGAAAATCCTTCAGCTTGCATGAGTTGATGGATAGAGCAAAGACATCTAAACCAGTATCATGCCTTTCACCTGATTTCGTCATCCTTTCTCTCATAGAACGACCGCGTCTCCGTGGCTGGTAGCTTCCCTGGTAGCTTCCCCTCTGCGCAAGGCACCCAGGACCCGTCACTATGTTGGTTTTCCAAGGTCTTAAGCGGGGTAGGGTAGTTGCACTGGGCAGTCGCATGGCAGGGCATTGCATTGCAGGGTGATGCGAGGGGGAGAGGGAGGAAGGAGGTAGCGCGATGCTGGTGTGGGTCGACCCGCCGTTATGCATCATGGTGATACGCTTTCGATGATGCTCCCGCCATGGCTGCGAGGATGGAAGCGCCTTGGATGATGGGAGAGGGGTCAGTCGGGTAGTTTGTTGCCGTAGCTACGATACTTGCAGCAAGTTTCGTTGATCTTCTTGCTCAATGTTGAGCGTCAAGAACTGCCGACAGCCCTCCTCGGTCGTGGCAGCAACAGTAGGAAGGTTTGTAGATCGCCACGAAGAATGTCTGTTCTCTGCTACGCTGGCGAAGGTCATGCTGTGGCAACTGAACCCACAGGGCGAGCATGACGAGCCCTTGCGTCTTTTCGGCTCGTGGCCCATGTTTTCCGGCATCACAGGATGTGCGACACTGCATGGAGACGACGAAGAAGTCGACAGCATTCTCCTCCTCACCCGGTGCTTCTCATGGAGTATAGTGCGCTGGGACGACTCGACCAAGTCCTTCGAGAAAGTTCTCGTACACCTGAACGGATCCCTTGAGAAGGTCATAGCCCAGGGAAGGCTCCAGAATCCCAGCCAAGGAGTCTACTTCCCGCTTCCCGATGGTGCGCTGATGTGTCAGAGGGCAGGGCCGAAGAGGGGGGAGGAGCTGGTGATGGTATGCTGCTGGAACACTATCTTCCATCTCTTCAACCTTCAGAGATCAAGAGGGGGCATGCATCTTTGGATCAGAACATCAGGAGGCTCGACAGAGTACAATCTTGTGAAGGGAGTTCCAGGGCCAAACACGAGACTGATCTCCTGGTGCTTCCTGCTGCCCCCGAACGACACGGACTTCGAAGACTGCCCGCTGATGGCGTTGTTGTTCGAAGATGAGAAGGGGATTGTAGACCTGGAGACATGCTCGATCAAGTACGAAGGTGAGAGAATGAGAAAACTCAATTACGGGAGGAAGAAGAGGAGAAGAGAGAGGAGAAGAGAGAGGAGAGTAGGTATTGACCAGGGGAGGGGGGGGGGAGAGAGAGGGGGGTGAGTATTAGGAGGAGAGTGAAGAATTGAAAAAATGATGAAAATCTTGCTTCAGAATCCAACAAGCTCAACTTCAATCTGCTTCAAGGCCCTTGGAGCTTTTCTACTCTACACCCTGAGACGAGCCTGGTGTTACCATGCGGTAAAAATCTCTTGCAATGTCCCCGTGCTCCTGACTTGCTGGCCGCTGCTGCCTGGCGTGCAGGGACGGAACTTGGAGGTGGGTGCGTTCTTGTATCCTCATCTTCCATCATCGCAGTGGGCGATCAGGGTCTACGAGGAGAGCACACTGTAGTTCTCTAGATGATATAACACATGCTTGACCTCATCGTAGATTACATCTCGTTTCGCGGTCGCTTCCTCCCTTGCAGTGCCGGCAGGCCCAGGTTGCTCATGTGGAACTTGAAGAGGGGAGGGGTTGCGAGAGAGTTGATGCAGCAGACGTTTCTTCCGTTGCTCGTATGATCCTGAAGTCGATGGTGTCAACACAAACTTTGTAGAGATGATTGTGTTTCCAGGTTCGAACCGGAAGAAGAGGAGTATGCATTGGATCTTGGGTTCGAACGACGGGCAGATGCATATCTTGTCAGTGTCGGGTAATGAGAATGTGTGCAATAGCGGCAAAATTTTGATGGTGATAAAGAAAAAGGGAAGGGAGAAGGGAAGGGGGAGGAGGGAGAGACAGATAAGGAAGAATTCAATGTGAGCAACAAGCATGTGCAGCTTGGCGAAAATGGGTAGCAAGAGGAAAAGCAGTAAAAGACAGAACAGAGGAGGAAGCGATCATTGCGATCTGATTGCAATAAGCTATGAATCGTGTCAATGATTTTGATTGATGACAACGATGTATTTTGGCAAGAATACAGCATTAATTGTTTGCTCAGGAGAATCAAAATCAGCCAACGTGACGATCAATGTGAAGCGAATCGACACAAACATTCCGCTGTCCAACCCGCGGGTCGCAACGATTTTGAGATCTCAAGAAAGGTGCTTTCATTTTGCTGTCTGCAATGCAACGTATTCGTGTTGGTGCTGGGGGTAATGATGCTGCTGTTTGCATTCCAAAACTTTCATGTTGGTGATGGAGATCATATTGCACCTTTTTACCATTTGATAAATTCATGTTGATGGATGTAGTACAAAATCACTGCTCTGATCGTGCGCACAGAACTCTGCAGCTCTGGTGTACAAAGACTGGCTACACAAGCATCCTCGACATCACCAAATTGTCCCATCACATTGAGAACAATTCTCAAACAGATCAAGAGATTCCTGGGGTAGAAGTCATGTGCAGGTTTGTAGACTAGGTGTGTATTGAAGAACTCCCAGTGACGTTTCTTCTCATCTGCAGCCCTTTCGAAGAGTCGCTGGGAAGTATCAAAGATGCGATAGCCGTTGATTTCCTGGGCGATGGAGAAATGCAGGTCGTTGCAATGTTGCTGCGATGTTTGTTCTCTCGCTGAAGAACTTGTTTGAACAGCTGCTTCTTGCCTGTGGAGAAGGGTCTGATTCCTGCCTGAGATTGTGCAGGAGCGGGTTGGAAGTGAGTGTTTGTTACGAATTTCATAGAGATGCAATCGTAACAAGGGTTGTGGTGGGCTGTGAAGGAATGGTATCATGACGCCCATGAGATGACGTTTTGTTTGTTTTGTCGTGAAGATGTGTTTGTCTGCAACGACTACATCCGTCCTTCATGCTTGATCTTCATCTGTAAATTTCTATTTTCCTCGTCATCACAATTCTGCTTCTTATCACGATCTCACACGTAACATTATAATCTACAAGGTGTCGAAGATTATTGAAGAAGGGCCGGAAATGCCCGAGTGTAGCGACATCTTTGCACTGAGAGGCCTCCACATCCTGCATGTGCAACCCCATGACAACGGCAGCAACATTCAGCGTCTTCGAGCTTTTGATTCTCACCTGGTGTTCTCGTTTGCCTCTATCAATCAGACCAAGGTGAGGGAGTGTGAGAATGTAACAACCATCATGTTGCCTGTGTTTGCTCTGCTTATCTCAACATGACGCGTGTAGTGATTTGAGAGAGGGGTAGAGATGTTCTCAAATCGTGAGCAAATTGCTTCTGGTGTATTGGAGCGACATCATGTGTCTGGAATGTGACATTATTCCATGATGATTTCGATGTGGTTTTAGATGTATTTTGATACCACTACACTCTTCATTGATTGCTATGTTCGCATGACATGTTTGTACAACATCTAACCTTTGTCTTTGATAGGTTTTGGAACTTGACGGGCATGAATTCGTGCCAGTGACTCTACCAGGTAATGATAAAACCAAGTTGAAATTTTGACAACATTTACTACTTATCTATCAAAGATTTTTGTGCATGCCCAACGTGTTTCTATGCGCATTTCTTAATTTGCTTACCATCTCTGTGTCGTCTAAACTTAAACGTGTGCTTGTTTTTGTTGTCTTTCTCTTATCAAACGTATTGCTCCCCTTCAGCTGATTTTTTCTCGAAATGCATCCATTGTTCTTTTCCCCTTCTGCCCTTCTCATACTTCCGTCATGTTTGAAATCAGTCTTTTGTTTTCCTATATTGTTCAAGCCTTCTTCCATCTGCGTTTCGATCATTTCACGTTTCTTCTCCCCTGCAGGATTGTGCGAAGACGCAAACACAGTCTTCATCACATCGCTACCTCATGGACACCTTGTACAAGTCACAGAGATGGAGATCCGATTGATCAACATGAGAAAGTCTGTCATGAACTCAAGTCAGGAAGATTATCTTCACGTTTGGACTCCGAAAATTGGAAACATCAACATGGCAAGCGTTGTCAAGTACGACACGTCGATCAAGACAGATGGCAACCAATCTTTGACTCCTCATCAGCTTGCTTCTCTTGTTGGTGATTTTTGCTCTCAATTACATCATTTCTTTTTCTGTAACTTGTTTACAGTTGCCGTTGACAGCGTACTGAGTCTGTTTGAAATTCTTACACACTCCAACAAAAAGTCAGAAGTCAAACTAAAACACTCTCGTCAGTTTGAACACCAGATCTCTGCGGTATGGCCCAATGAGGTCATTTAAGTTTTCTCACACTGAAGTTACAGGTCCACATGTTGAAAAACGACAGCATGGAAGTCAAGGTGATTGTAGCTCAATGGGTCTCAAATATTGTACAGATTGTTCATGGTCAAACGTTGCAGACAATGTTCACAACGCTTGCATTCCCAGTTCATCTCCGTTCTGTCTACCTTTGGCAGCTTCCGGACAAGCTTTCATATCAACAATACAACCAACATTGTGTTTGCGATCAAGTTGCTGTGGTAGGGTCAAGCACGGGAATCGCCCATATCTTTCCTATACCATCCAAGACATCAGGGATTGTGGACGTCATGACGTTGATAGTGAGAAGTTTGACCTGAGATCCATTCACGCTCATCTTACTCCTCCTAGGAAGTATGTTCTCTGCGGGTGGGAGAAACGGCAGTGAGCATACACGTGGAGGAGACGGAGCAGGCAGTTCATGGGATTTTCCTCCACTCCAACTACAACGCCTGGATTCATTTGCGGTCAGGGGAGTTGGAGGTCAAGAGGATCAACGGAATTGAGAAAGTCAAGGCTGTCTGCAGCTTACACACAGAGCTGATGCCGAGTGAGATCTTCTTCCTTGAGACGTGCTTGCCTGTTGGATGTTCATGTTGTGATGTTGTCGTTTCCATGTTGAACTTTGTTATGATGACGTTGGAATATCATTGCTGTTGTTGATAGTTGTGCCGTTGTGTACGAATGTTGATGGCGTTTATGATATTGTTCCTGCAATGATCTTTCACTGTGTTCTTTCATATCATGGTTTTGTCCCATGTTTCAGTTTTCTTTCTCACGAACATCTTTTGTTTCTTTGTTTCTCACATCCTCTGACACTTGTCAGCTTCTTTGGTCTGGATCAACGAGAAGGATTGCTTGCAATTTGGCAAGTTGGCAGAAGACAGGTAAATCAAAGTACAAGCTCGACTGCAAACGATTAGAGAGTTGTTTTTCACGTGGGGAAGGAAACTAGAACATCTTGGAAGACATTCGGAGGAATTTTCATCACATTCGATTAGATTTCCATTTCAATGCAAGATTTCCAGCGCTTTCACATCTTAACATGATCGCAGGCAAACTTCAACCATCTATCAGAGGAGCGTGAAGCTTGCGGAGAACGTAGTGTCGATGACCCACAGCTCAAGACATCGATGCCTCCTCCTCCTCACTGAAAGCCCCGTCGACGCTAGCAACAGGATGAGAATTTTCAGCGACGACTCTCTGCAGGAGGTGGACGATGCGATGGCTGCTGCTGCTCTCGCTGTCGCTGACTCTTGCTCAGATCTGGAGCATGCAGCTCATGCCAGGGCACATGTGGTCGCTGATAGCATCTTCGAAGCTTCAGACTGACAGTGAGGACGATCAGCCTGCTCACCTGCTCTCCTTCCTCCCTCTTCCTCCCTGCCCACCTTCAATCATCTTTCTCTTCTCTAGTTTTCCCGCCCTGTTTCCCCCTTCCCCTTTCCTCCTCCGCCGCTCCGCCTTCTGCCCCCTCCCTTTCCACTTCTCTCTCCCTCGCCCTTGCTGTCTGTCCCGGTCTTCCTCTCCCCATTTTCTCTTTCCCTCTCCCTCTCCCTCTTCTTCACTAGCCAGTGTCTGTGCATGACCTGATCTTCAGTACCTTCGGCACTTGATCCTGAAGCAGCAGCGATCGACTCAGAGATCTTCCTCACCGTCTCCTATGTAGAGACGAACGATCCAAAAAGCTCCGCGTCTTCATACTTACAGGACAAAGAAGAAGACAAACAGAGAGAGGTTTGCTGCAATTCTTCTTCTCGTCCTCCTCGTCCTCATCTTCTCCCTCGTCCTCGTCCTCCTGCTCCTCTTCCACCTCCTTTCTTCCCCTTCCTTCTCCTGCTCCTCCTGTCCCTCTCCTGTCTCTCTCCTCCTCCTCCTCCTCCTCCTCCTCCTCCTCCTCTTCTCGCTCCTTCTCCTCCTCTCGCTCATCCTCCTTTCCTCTCGCTCATCCTGCTTCTCCTCCATCACCTTTATCTATGCTTCACCTTCCTCAGCCTCTTCCACCCTCTCAGTCCTCCTCACGACTGTTTAGGACGACTCTCAAGAATTTCAACGAGGAGAGAAGGCAGTGATAGCAGCGTGGGAGATAGAAAGTGTCATCTCAAAACCTCGGGAGGACCAAGATCCTGATGTTACGTTCGATATCAGACTGATTGGCATCAAGGAAGTAAAGAAGGTGAGATCATAGAAAGCAAACAGAGAAAACTTCTTTCAAAAAGATTGTATCGACTTGTCAAGGATGTACTCTTGTTTGCTTTCTCATCCTTTGTGCTCGTTCACACCAGCCTAGCACCTTCTGACGCATTCGCTGGACAGGTGTTCACATACCTTCATTCTACAGATCAGTTTGGAGTCTTCTTCGCTTCAGCAGCGAGCGAGTTGTTCCTTGTCAAATGCTCTTCTCTTGACGAGAGGTTGTGAACGAGTGAACATGTCACAACATGACTTGAGTTTCCAGCAGAGATGCGGCATCCTTTGACAAAGAGATGCAAGCTACAGGTGTGAATCTTTTTTCCCCCTCATCCTCCGATCTCTTTCTCCCCGTCCTCGCTGTTGCAACTTGTTCGTCAAATTCTCTCGCAGGGAGAAGATTTGGGAGGATAGGAGAGCTCCACATGAAGCTGAAAGTTGACATCTTACCGGGGGAACCCGACCATAAGATACCTTACGTCGGCAAGGTAAACGAGGTGTTAAAGTGATGTACCTTGCACAAGCTGCATTGCAATGTCACTCGTTGAGTCTAGAAATCTATCAGTCTCTTCAGCCCATCCATCCTTTAATCCCATCCATCCCCAACTCTCCCTCCCTCCCTCTCTCCCTCCCTGCCTCCCTCCCTGCCTCCCTCCCTCTCTCTTCATCTCTCCCTCCATCTCTCTCTCTCTCCTTCTCTCCGCACCTCTCCTCTCCTCCTCCCTCCCTCCCTCCCTTCTTCACTCACTCGCAACCTCGCAGGGACTCGTCCACGACGGCTCTTACAAGGACGGATCAGCCTGCGCGTTGAGGTGGCTAGGAGACATGGATTTAATTGAGATACATTCGAACAATCTCCCACCTTCGCCTGGCTCAGAATTGTTCGAGGTTGTGGCGAGTCTTCACCCTGATAGGGAGGGGCTGCATGAGATTGTGAGCTGCAAACTCTTTGATAAAAGTCGAGGAGTAGTCGGAGATGCTCTTGGAAATCTCTTGATCTTTGAGAGACTTGGGTGAGCATTGTAGTTGTTGTTGTTGTTGATGATGATCATGATCGTGATCGTGATCATGATCATGTTATTGATGATGATGATGATGATGATGATGATGATGATGATGATGATGTCGACTACGACTACGACTATGACTAAAACGATGAGATGATAGAATCATTGGTGCCGGTGTCCTTCTTGTGGTATACTTTTCTTTCTTGACTTTCATTCAAGTGATCGGATCGCTGCTCTCTTCTGCATGAACGCAAGGTGATGTTCTGACGTCTTTCTTGCAATATCTTGATTTACATCTAGATCCGGAGGAATAACACGCATCATGGAGGGTAGAATGGGATTGCACTTTCTCAACAAGGTCGATGAGGTATGCTGAAGATGATTATGATGATGTTGAACGATGACGATCAAATTTGACAATGACGCAAGAGAGGAGGAAAAATTGGGAGAAAAAATAAGGAGGAAGTAGAGAGACAAGAATAACCAGGAGAGAGCAGAAAGAGGAGCAGGAACGATGGAGCAGGGAGCAGGATCTGGTGCAGCAGCAGCAGCAGCAGCAGCAGCAGCAGTAGCAGAACTGACGAGCGATTGTTTTCTTTCCATTCATTTTCTTCTCTTTCAGTCACACCCACCCTTCATCTTCGTTACAACTGACGGAGGTTTGCTCGCTGCCTCCTCCCTTGCCCCTTGCCCCTTCCTCCCTGCCTCCTCCTTCACCCCCCTCCTCCTCCTCCTTAGCCCTTCGTCCTTCTCCTCATTCCTCCTCCATCTCCTTCTATCCTCTCTCCTCCACCCTGTTCTCTCCGGCTCTCTTCTCCTTCATCGGGACCCCCCCCTCCCTTTTCTTCCACCTGTCCTCACCCCCCCCTCCCCTTTTCTTCCTCCTGTCCTCACAACCCCCCTTCCCCTTTCTTCCTCCTGTCCTCGCTCCTCCTCCACTCTCTTCCTCCTCCACTCTCTTCTGTATCCTGCACGTTCCCCTTGTTATGCTCTCGTCCTTGTGTGGTGAAATCGAGACTGATTTTGTTTCTCGCAGCTATCGGATCGGTTTCTCCACTACCAGCTGATCTCAGTGAAAAAGCCTCCAAGTGCTGTCTTACTCCCTGTCCCTGCACTCCTCCTCTGTTCTACTTCCTTTTTCCTTGCTCCACTTGTTTCTGCTCCTTTCCCTTCCTCCTACACCTCCTGTTCCTCCTCCCTCCCCTCCTCCTCCTTCCTCTTCCTCTACCTCCTCTTTCTCTACCTGAGACCGTCCTTGTGTCGTTGCAGACTTCACGCTGCTCTCCAAACTCTGCTTCCTCCTTTTACAGGTCAGAAGTACTCTTACCAACTCCTCCCTCCTGAACTTTCTTTCTTAATTTCCCTTCATTCCTCCTATTTCCATCTTTTTCCTCCTCATCCCCCTCCCTCTTCCTCTGTTTTTCTTCCTCCTGCTTCTTCCTCCTGTCTCTTTCTCCTCGTCTTCCTCCTACTCTCCCCTCTCTCCTCCTCGTTTGTCCCTCCCTCGTCCTTCTTTCTCCTCCCTCCTCGCTGGTTCGCTCATGCTCCATCAGGCGCCTGGCACAAGAACGTCTTTCCTCGCAGGAACGCGGAAGTTGCCAGCATTGGAGACTTTGCGGGGCGAGAGACGGGGCTTGTTGATGGAGATTTCTTGCAGTTGTTGTTGAGATGCGTGGTGAGATGAGAAGGATATCGTTTGCTCTATGCCAACAAGTGCGACACAGGATGATGAAGTGTGGAAGAGTGTAAGGGGAAGGATGAAGAAAAATGGTGAGGAGGATGTTGAATTTTCGATCTTGTCGATGCGAGATGATGAGATCGTTTGCAGACGAACAAGTCAAGATTATCATCGCAAGAGTGAACAACTTGATGATGTAAATAGAAGCCATCTGGGCAAGCTGACAGATATCAGAAGGAAGAGCAAGGAACTCAAAGAGAAAGATAGCCGTAGAAGCAGTCAAGAAGCTGCTGTGAAACAGAGTGGACTTGTTCTGTTCTCTTAACTTGTTGAATAATTACAAGGTGCAAACAGATCAAAGTGAGGTGTCTGCACATGAAAGAATAATTGTACTCTCTGCCCTTCACACAAGCTCGATCTCAAACAGATTTGGCCAAAGTTTGCCCGTCACCCATAGGCGATCCCTGTGGGACAGTAAGAAGTTTGAGCAGGAGCAGGAGCAGGAGCAGGAGCAGAAGCAGAAGCAGGAGCAGGAGCAGGAGGAAGGGGGGGGGGGGGGCTGGGAGGAGGGGGAAGAGCAGGAACGAAGAATGGAAGGATGAGAAGAACAGAGGGAAAGGAGGAAAAGGAGGAAGAGGAGGAGGAAGAGGATACCTGTTTTCATCGTAAGCAATACCGTTCAACACATCCTCTCCGTGCGCCTGCAGAACAGACAAGATCGTCAGCTATTCCTCCCACGACAGCATCAACAAACTTTGATAGAGCGTCGAGGATGAAGGCCGGAAAGATCAATCCATCCAACAACATGTCCTGTTGTTGGATCGATGCGGGCGATGCGGTCTTGAAACCAGATGTTCGCAAAGATTTCTCCGTGGATGAATTCAAGCTCGTTGAGTTTGTCGATGTTCTGCATGATTGTGAGATCGGAAGGAAGGAGAACTTGCTTGCTCTGTCTCCAATGATGAAGGAGATGATAGAACAAAGAATACAACACAGCAAACAAGAAAGAAGATTGAGAAAAGAAAAGAAGGGAAGCAGAAGTGGAGACAAGCACACAACCAAAAAAAGGGCAAATCATGTCTTAAAACGTACATTCAACGAGCAAGACAATCCAACTCCAACAGCAACATAACAGTAAGAGTAACAATAGTAACTAAGAGAAACACAAACATATGCAGCAAAAGATCATGTTCGCTGCTGTTGTCGATTCTCAGTCTTCACCTGCTTGTTGGTGGGGTCGACAACGTTCAACACGCGGGTCAACTCGAAGGTCTTGGGGTCGCGGAAAAAGAGTTTGTCTGAGCCATCAGACATGATAAGCTCCTGGGAATAGAATAATCAGAACAGACTAGGGGGAAACAAGCTGACAAAGCAGTCAAAGGCAAATGAATCCTTCATCACCAGCACAACTAAAACCATCTCTCCTTTCCATCATCATCGTTGTTGCCACCGTCATGATTATGTCCATCAACACCGTCAACAACAATGACATCACCACATCTATAATCTCTGTAATCATCATACTTCATCCTTGACAGCATCCTCCCCATCATCTCCATCATCATCCCAACTCCCATCTTCACGTATCCTCTGTAACGCCCAAAGGCAAATCTTCACCTTTCCATTATTCGTTATCCCCCATCCATCCGTGTCATACGTGAACGTATTCAATTCCTGTCCAAACCATTCAAAATTTTCTCCTCGCATCATGTTCTCACTTGAAATGTCTCGATGTCATACACAAACGCTGTCTTTGTCTTCCATGTCAGCTGATAAACCTTTCCCTTGAAAACCTGATACACATGTTTGCTCCAAGACAACAACTTGCACAGTTACACTCACTGTGCAACCTTCTCCAAAGTGTTGAGAAGCAAGATTGTGTTGTCTGAGGACTCTTCCAGTCTTGATCTCAACCTCTCTCTGACAAAAATTGTCACTTTCCCATCATCGCATGTTGCCCTAGGGCTTACAAGTGACGATTTGATCCCCGTGCTCTCTATAAACTTCCCCGCAAGAAATTCAAGGCCCTGCAGTAAGGAAGCTATCAAACCCAGGATCGTTGTTCAAAAAATCAGACATCGAGTTGTTTGAACATGACTCGTTGTCCGAGAAAACAGGTATCGTGTTATGTATGAACATACACCCTTCCATCTCTTCAAACAGGGCAAAAACAAGGCCAAGTCAAGACGCGTAACACACAACAACAGTGCACTTCTGCCAACCATCTCAAATCACCTGTGTGAAAGCTCGAGCATCGTGAGGGTGGGTCTCAATTATCTTGTACCGAAGTAGACGGTCCTGGAGCTTGTTCCCTCGCTCCTGCAGCAAGCATGTCAAGACTAAGTGCTTTTGTAGTCGCACCCAGTCCTTTCCTTCTGCAACTTGACAAGCTCAACCGTTGCTCCAGTGCGATTGACCCTCGCGCTGCAGAGAAGAATGGAGAACAGATGAGAACGAAGCACTAAGATCACCCCTCTCTCGCTCCTTCCCTCCTCCTCTCTCTTCTTCCATCCTCCTCCCCTCCTCTCCTCCCCTCCTGTTTCTCTCTGGTTCTGCCTCCTCTCCCTCTCACCCCTCCCTCGCTCCCTCCCTCCTCCTCCTCTCCTCCTCTCCTCCTCTCCTCCTCTCCTCCTCTCCTCCTCTCCTCCTCTCCTCCTCTCCTCCTCTCCTTCCCTTCACCTCTTCATCTTCTCTCTGCTGTCTCTCCTGTCCCCCATTCCCCCACTCACTCCTCCTATCCCAAGATCATCTTGTTCTTTCTTCTCGCATCCCATCATGCATTCTCACCCACGAGAAGCGCTTGTATTTGGGCTCGCCATGGAGCTTTGCCGACCGGCATCCTCCTCGTTCTGGATCGTCATGTACGCAACTCCAACAAAGATCAAGGACGCGAAGACATACATGAGAACTGATCGGACAACAAGCTGTTAGTAGACATCATCAGCTTCCATTAACAAACACACCACTGAGTAGAGAAGAACTGTTTCTCTTAGACTTGGGAGGGATTACTCGTCTCCCTCCCGTCTCCATCTTCCCTTTCCTCGGAACTGCTGCCATTGACGATACCTTGTCGCAATGTCAGTGATGTTTGTCAGTGAGCTACTAGAACGCTACTTCTGCCCTCCTTGATTTACCCATCTTGAGCTTATCTTCTCATAGCCTCCTTCTACTCATCCTCCTCCTCCCCGTCGTCATCATCATCATCGTTCTCCTCCTGCTTCTGCTTCTCCTGCTCCTGCTTCTCCTGCTCCTGCTCCTGCTCCTGCTCCTGCTCCTGCTCCTGCTCCTGCTCCTGCTCCTGCTCCTGCTCCTGCTCCTGCTCCTGCTCCTGCTCCTCCTCTCGTATCTTGCCACCGCAACCATGATCCACCGGTCGCTCCTACCACCCAAGTGAATTCCCTCTAGGAAGCCCTCGGTATCTGAAATTCCGATCCATCGAACGAACAGTAAACAGTTCCTGATATTTCAAATAGTCAAAAACTTATAAATATACTACCCATGTCATGATGGTTGTAAGTACCGGTAATAAAAACAATTCTTTTTTACGAACGATCTCAACCGGCTCCAGAAATACTGTCGGGAGAAGGAATCGCCTACGGAAAGTGAGGGACAGAAGACAGGAGGGAGGTAGCGAGAGAGGAGGAGGAGAGGAGAGACAGAGAAAGAGACAGAGACAGAGACAGAGACAGAGACAGAGACAGAGACAGAGAGGGGAAGAGAGAGAGAGAGAGAGAGAGAGAGAGGAGAGAGAGAGAGAGAGAGGAGAGAGAGAGAGAAAGAGAGAGAGAGAAGGGAGGAGCGAGGAAGTAGGAGGGAGCCGGCAGAGATAGAGGAGGGTGTAGGGGGAATGGAGGGAGGGCAGGGGTAGCTGCTCAAGCAGAACACGGAGACAAGAAGGACAGAGTAAAGTTGATGGAGGGGGGAGAGGGAGGGACGCAGAGCGAGATGGGTCTTGTATCATCTCAGAGAATCGTCGCACCCTGAACACTGGAGGAACCTTCATCGTCATCCTCCTTCTTCCCTCCTCTTCTTCGCCATCAACCTCGTCCTCCCCCTCTGCTCTTCCCCCTTCTTCTCCTGCTCTCCCTCCCCATTCGCGACCATGGGAGCATCGTGGAACAAATGCTCCTTCCCTCAGGTATGTTATGCTTTAGAGCCTGTCTCCCCCCTGCTAATCGCTTGCTTGCTAGGATTGTGTCGATCGAACTCAAATGGTTGCAAAGGACGCGAATTTGAAACCAGAGGGATATCGGGTGATCGAACTTTGCCCTGTTGGAAGATGACTGTGTATCATGGCATATGTTACATCTTCATGCGCACCAACCCATGCATTCTTGTCGCACGTGTCGAGCCAGCTGCATTCTTGAACTCATCGTCCATCAATCATTGACATCTCACTCTCACACCACAGCATGTTGTTCATCATCTTATCTCAACATCCTCCTATCCTCGTACCTCAACTTCTGTTCGATCACCTTGACATCTGCTTACACTGCTCCTCAGGCTGTGAGCGACAGCATGGATGACCCGAACAGGTGGAAGCAAACATTCACACCAAGGACCATGTCGAGGATAGACAACTCCCTTCCGAGCTTGCGGGATCACGTAGCAACTGAGCCTGACCCGATCTTCGATGCTAGGAGGTGAAAGCGATACACTGAAGTCGTGTGACCATATTGTTGGGGATCAGACATGTTGTGGTGTGATGGTTGTGTGTTGAACGCTGAAGGCTGAATCATAACTCTTCATTACAACATTGTGCTTGTTTCAACATGAAACTTGCTGCATTCCTCGCCATGTATTCGTAGCGGATGATTTGACACGATTGAGACAACAGGAGGGATTCCCCTAGACACATTCCTCTCTCGGCTCGTTCTCACTCTCCCTGGGACAACGCACATCTTGCATACAAGTCTCCGAGATCTCTGTCTCATGTTGGAGGCCCAGTGTATGAGAGAGAAGGAACAAGAAACGAGATGTGTTTGAGTGCGAGGTGAGATGTTGATGCTGAGAAAGTCAGCATCTTGTGAGAAAGTTTTTCAGAGACCATGTGATTGTTTCAAGTGCAAGATTGAGGCATCAAACAACGGGAGGTAACGATGATGGTCAAGTTGGGATTCAGACTGAACTGAATTTTGGATGCAAAGAAGCAAGCATCGATGAGGATGAAAATGAAGACGTTTTGGTGCAGAAAGCTCTGGACGTCGTTGCAGAGAGGATGTCAAAAAGAGTGAGAATTATGATAGTCATAATGATGAAAGATGATAATGACGACGACAACAATGACGAGGAGGAGGAAGAGCAGCGATGGTGGTGTTGGTGGTCATGGTGGTGGTTGAGGAGGAGGAGGAGGAGGAGGAGGAGGTATATGAGGATGAGGATGAGGATGAGGATGATGATGATTATGAGGATGATGATGATGATGATGATTGTCTATTCGAAAGAGGGATCATGCATTAACTATCTCATCAGGAGACTTTCTCTACACCTCGCACTCCTCGTTTAGGAACGTCGAATTTGACGAGGTTTGTTGATTTCCCCAAGACCGAATTCTCCACGAGAAAGGCGGGGGCAAATGGCGATGGCGCAATGAGTCAAGACGGCAAACGATCCCCTTCCCTGTCCTCCTTCACCTCTGATGTGAGTTAATATATGTTGGAGATGGAAATGATGGCGAGGACGAGGACGAGGACGAGGACGAGGACGAGGACGAGGCCGAGGGGAGAAGGAGGAGGAGCGAATGTCTTAATACTGATGGAGAAGGAGGAGGAGGAGGAGGAGGAGGAGGAGGAGGAGAATGGTGAGAAGAAAGGAGTAGGAGGGGGATCATGATGATTGCGGTTATCGTTGTTGTAGTTATGAGCTGACCCTTGGCCTTTGTCATCAGGGTGAATCGGGATCGTACGACGAAGGTTCGAGACTTTTTCTCTGCAACCAGCTTGTCGTCTCTTGACTGTGAGTTGTAGAATTCTCGCCGATGAGCGAAACAGGAGTGATAGCTTTCATGTCGAATGACAAGGACGAGCGTCTTGTGAAGAAGAGCAAAGATGTCGATACGAGCAATCGCGAGATGATCAGCATGGAAGAGGTAAGGATCGCATGTTTGTTTGCAAAGAAAAATCATGACAGTCAATGATATTTCACAATGTCGGACATACCAACGTCAAAGACGCTCATGGGAAACAAACCGATCTCAAACACACACTTCTCATCTCTTACATCTCGCTTCACATATCACATATCTCCTCGACTTCTCTCTCTCTCTCCTTCTCTCTGCCTCTACCTGACCTCCGCCATCCCCAGGCTCTCCTCCTCATCTACTCGATCTCCCTCGACGAGATGGTCAAACGAGGAGCCGCCGCTCCTCCTCTAGATGTGAACGAACTTGCCACGAACCCTCCTCCCTCCTCCCCTTCCTCCTCCCTCCTCCCCTTCCCTCCTCCGTCCTCCTCCCGTCCCTCCTCCCTGCTCTCCTCTCCTTCTCATTACTCCTTGATACTCCCTTCTTTCATTCTTCCTTCCTACTCCCTCTTCGCAATCCTCCTCCCTGTTTTCTGCTCTCGTTTCTCCTCTCTGCTCTTTTTTCTCATCCCCTCTCGCTGAACTCTCCTGCTGCTCAACCCTCTCCCCTGCTCTCACCTCTTCACCTCTTCACCTCTCCTCGCTTCTGTCTCTGAAAGTGATCCCTTCCAGCTGCTCCGCATGCGGCTGAACCGAGATGACTGGCTGAGACACTTCAAGATTGCTGGAGTGGATCAATACCTTTCAGCGAACATGTCGGATATGTGAACGAGTTTCCTCCTGCTTGCTAGAAGTCTCAAATGATGTGCAGATGTAGTCGGGAAGACAATGCGAGTGAATGGGTTGTAGAGAAGCAACCTGGTTCGCAAGAAGCAAAGATATCCAAGAAGATAGATTTCCAGGAAGATAACGAACATGTTCATCGTCAGCAACAACATGTATCGCAACAGGATGACATTGCTCGACGACAGGTGCAAGTTTGCTGAATCACATCTTTGATCATTGAAGTGATTATGTCGAGAAGGTCGAAAAGATGCAAGATAGTCGAAAGACGGAAACAATGGCGAAAACATCACTATCACAACATGTAAAGTGCAAAGTTGTGCTTCACCTTCTGTGATTTCTTGCGGGCAGAACGATCTTGTAAGCAACGCTCGTCAAGATAGGAGTCAACGGCAGGTACAACCAGAATACTTCCTTCCTCTCCAATCTTGCCCGCCGCATCAAAATCCTCCGATGAGCTTGAACAGGTCCCATCGTTGAGGATTGAGAACATCTTACAAGATGAGAGGTGATAGCATCATCACAAACTCTCTCTCTGCTGTTATCAACATGTCAAGTGCCTGTCTGCGCGGCAGGCTGCAAATTTTCCAGAGGGAGAAGCTTGCGCAGCAGCAGGATGAAGTCGCAAGGAGCTCGCAAGACTTGAAGGCGAAGGCTACCAGCATGCAACAGATCATTTCCAAGACCGACCGATGGGTTCAAGACATGTAAGATGTGTTAGCAAGCAATGAATGGCGGTTGAAACACGACGATTTGTGTTGTTGCTGAGAAGAACGTAATGTTTTTGAAAAGATCTGACTTATAGTTCTAACTTGTTGTGGAGATCTGTATTGTTATTGAGGAACCTGACTTGTCCTTGAAAATACCTGATTTGTGATTGAGAAGATGTGACTTGCGATGAAGAACATCTGACTTGTACCTGACAAGATCTGACATGTAGCCGTGGGAACAGGCAGATCTTGTCGGAACGGGGCCTGTTGCCCGAGACCAAGTCACCTCGCTTCCGTAACCTCACTCCTAGAAGCTCCCGAAGCGTTTTACCCGACGGTGAGGAGGGAGACGGGGATAGTGATGGATATATCAGCAGCAGGAAAGTTGGTGGAGAAGCTGAATGAGGAGCAGGAGGAGCAGGAGCAGGAGCAGGAGCAGGAGCAGGAGCAGGAGCAGGAGCAGGAGAAGGAGAAGGAGAAGGAGACGGAGAAGGAGAAGGAGGAGAGTAATGTATTACGTCGAGGAGATGTGATAGAGAGGTGGATGCGTAGAGAGGAGCAGGAGATGTCGGCAGCGATGGAGCTAAAAGAGGATTGAAGTAAAGGAGGAGGAGGAGGAGGAGGAAGGAGGAGGAGGAGGAGGAGGAGGAGCGAGCGAGCAGCAGCAGCAGCAG